CACCTCATTCAGAATAAAAACCTAAGTCCTTAAGACAGCCTAGAGCACCCCACCCTCCCACTCTCCCCTCACTTCAGTAAGGCTGGCTCCTGAACACACCTGAAACTTCTTCCAGAAATACCTATATGCTTGACACACTCAAGACATTGTGGCCATCACAGGCCTTTCAGACATCATTTCTAAGACAACAGCACCTTGCTCTACCTTGTCCATAACACTCTTTCGCTCTTACCCTTAGTTTTCTTGAGTTTTGTTTGTTTGTTTTGGGGGTTTTTTTGTTTTAGTTTGGGAGGAGATTGTTTGGTTAGTCTTGGTGGTACTGGGGTTTGAACTCAGGGCCTTGGGCTTACTATGCAAGTGTTCTATCCCTTAAGCCACATCTCCAGCCCCTAGTTTTCTTTGTAACATCACCATCTAAGATTATTTTCACTTCCTGTTAAGTCTCTATGGAATTAGTTCTTTGAAAACAAGGTCTCGCTCTCTGTTTTACTCCTAAGAGCCTAGAACAGAGACAGGGGTACAGATACTAAACATGTAACTCTCCAAAAAACTAAACAACCTTAATCCAAAGGTAGTCTGAGAGGAGGCCAGAATTCAAAGAGGCATTTGAATTCAGTAAATATATATCAAATTCCTACTATACAGTAGGCATTGGATTATGGGAGGTACAAGAGACATTATCTTGTAACGAGAAATACAGTAAGACCCTTACACTAAGTTCATAGAATCTGGGAGAATCCATGCACATTATTATACAAGGTTTTACAAAAAGAGCTATGTGAATATGACAGTCATCACTGCCCACTGCAAGAAACTGGAACAAAACAAACATGATGCGTGCATTCATCTCTGGGCACTTCATTTACTATGCCCCCTCCAAATAGAGAATTGTTCAATTCTTAAAACATCCCTGGAAAGAGACATTTCTGTAGCACAGGAGCCTTTGATTCCCTTCTCCTGAATCCTAAACTCAATTTTTGTTTGCTTTATCCTCAGTGGCAACAAAGACCATTCCAGATTCCTCCACACACGCTATTCCTGGCTTTCACCCTTAACTCACGGTTGAGTTGGGCCTTTTTTGTTTGTTTTTTGTTTAGAAGACCTATGATTAAGTTTCGTGCTTTCCATGTCCATTCCCCTCATTCTTACACCTCCTGGAGCCACTAGATGTTTTGTTTTGTTGTTTTAATGTAACAGTCATCAATCTTTCTGAACAAATTTTGAAAGAAAGTCAGGAAAAATAATCCAGTATATGCATATGGCTAGGTTTCCTTCAAACCCCAGGAGCAAGTCACAGGCTCTTTTGGATCCTAACCAATATTAACTATTCTCCAGCCCCTCCAACCTCACAGGCCTATCATCATGGAGAGAATAGCTACTAAAAAATTTAACTAAACATTCCAACCCAGATTTCCCCGAAAAATCCAACATGTGGGGTTTTTTGTTGTTTGCTTTATGGGTTTTGTTTTTGGCGGTACTAGGGGTTTAAACTCAGAGCCTCAAGTTTGCTGTGCAAGCACTCTACCACGAGCCATACCCCAGCCCTTTTTGCTTTTTTTTTTCCAGATAGGGTCTCACACTTTTGCCAGAGACTGGCCTCAAACAAATGTACATGCCCCCACATTGGGCCTTTACTATCTCTTTTTATGTGAAAAAGATGCATGAATTTCAAGTGCAGAATATTTTGGTGCATTTTCTTCATGAATTTACAATCTATAGTTTAGATATTTTCTTTTCCTGTTTTAAAAAAAATTAGTCCTCTATTTTGTCAACAAGTGTATCAGTGTTTCCCTCTGAACCTTTCTTTTTAACTTTGAATTAGAACCAAGTACACACAGTTAATTTATTCATTCTCCTTATAAAAATGTTTCCAATAAATGTGGTCACATGAAAGGTGCTTATACAATTAAAGTGATATTCATTACAATGGGTTTTATCTTACCCTAAAACAATGTATCTACCCAACTACAGTTAAGAATTTAAAGCCTGTTCAGATAAAAGGTCTAATGAGAACCTAATAAATTATGAATATTGGCCCATGAGATTATTAGAATAACTTGGCTGCTTTACAGTATTATACAGTGGGCAAACTTTAGCCAGGAGTAATCTCTTAATGGACTCACAGTAAGAAATGGAGCCAAACCCTCCAAACTACTCATTGTAGTTCTAAATTTCCCCTTAGAACAATATGTCATGTTCCTCTTGAGGTGGATTAAGTCAAGAGATGGAAATCAGGTGATAGAGAACTTTCTAAGTAATGATGTCAAAGACTCTTAACGAGAAAATTCTCCTTCAAAAGACAGCCCAGGAACATCTGTTCAGAAGAGGAGCTTAATTTGGAAGGTAAGTAAAATCTTACCCACTCCTTCGAACTGCCTGAATTTAGAACCCACCTCTTCACCTATTTAGGAGACGTACCCTGCCCTCTTCCCTAGGATCTGCAATATCTTAACTTGCTCACTCGCCTCCACCTTAATTCGGTGTCCAAAACAGTCTCAGTAGTAGCAGCAACCATGTTTAACTCTGAACTTCAGGCCACGAAAGAACAAACCAGGCTGTGCTTTCAGAATGAATCCTACATTCAGGGGTGTGGGTTTTCTGCCCTGAGGCCCTGCCTCTCCACCTCCTGTTTTCTTGCCCACTTGAGTTGGTACTCACCTTGCAGAGGAAGCCCTCCACTCCTGTTGCTCTTACTGGCTGAGTACATGAGGCAGGCCTCTGGCCCTTATGCCAGCTGATGAGATGGACTCCCCTCCTGCTGCTCCCCCTGCTGCTGCACAAAGGCATGCAGATCCCCAGGAAAATAAGGAAGGCCTATCTCCTGTATTGGGTCTAGGCCATCTTTTACCAACAGAACTTACCAGATGACCTAAACTAGGGGCATTTGCTAGAAGTTTGCCCAACCCATAAGGATGACAGCTCAATGTCCATTTTGTCAGCAATCCTTATATGAAGTCTCCATCATCCAGAACCTGAAGGGGAAGAATGAGTTGCATCAAATCCATCTTGAACCCCTAATACATTTTTTGATGCTTTGACTCAGATGTGACATGACAGACACCAAGAGACCAAATATGAAAGCAAAGAATCCTAATGAGCTGGAGGCTCTTGCTGCAACCACGGCAGTTGATGTGAACAGCCACTGTGTACTAGAGCAACTGGCCTTGGCCAATGTAGCAGGTTACAGCAGCTGTTATTGTGGTCAGCTAGAATAAATGTCAGCATGCAACTCTCAGGGGCCAAACAATACATCAGAAAAAATAAGTAAATAACCTAGTCTAAGAATCAGGATAGCTTTTGTGTGAACCACACATTGAGCAGGCAGAACTCTGGCCTTGGGCAAACAATAGATGGGAGAGAAAATGACATTAGCTTTCCCCCTGCAAAGCAGTTCTGCTTCTCAAGGACTTAGCGTGGGGGAGCTTGGGGTAGGGAAGGTGCTTGCTACAGCCAAGACAGCAGCTCTTCCAAGCCTGCCTTTCTGCAAGTGTAGGTGAAGGCCTTCGTGGCTGGAATAACAGACCTTTAGTGTGGGAGACATGGAGCACAGAGTTCCCTTGTGTTCCTCAGGCTACACCAAGGGACAAATAATCAAGGCTATCAGAGCAGAGAAAGGAAGAGCATCAGGAAGCTAAGAATCATGGAATCCTGAATTTCCTGTGCCCAGCCATTTGCCCAAGTCAGAAGCCTGGCAACACTTTGCTCGAATCACAACCCATACAAGTCTATTCAACCCACAGTTTGGTTAATGTCTTAGTTTGGGTACTCCTCTCACCTAGAAAAATGCAAAGACATGGCTCTGGTCTGTTAATAGAGCATCCTTTCAAAAGCATTCATTGTGGCATGACTCAATCTCTCCATACAACTTCTCTAGCCTCATCTTGCCTTGAATTCCATGTTACTTAGCTGACTTCTGATTGCCCTTCCAAGTGCTGTATTTTAAGCAACACTTTCTCTAGCTTTCTCTGACAGCCTCCCCCAGATTGCTCAGGTGTTCTTCCTCTTTGCTCCATCATTTCTTGAATCTGAGCATAATGAGTCTATCTCTCCCCACTAGGGAAAAGTTCCTCATCACAAGGGCCACCTTTCTCATCTCTGAATTCATGATATACAGGTGGCCAGCACATGGAAAACTCTACAAGGCTGGTGACCCAAACATGAGCAAGTACAGTCCCTGCCTTTGGGAAGCCCAGACTAGAAGACAGTTACACAAGTAAATTGTAATGTAATGCACATGCTAGGGCAGATGAGTGATCAAAATGCTACCATGAACATCTAGTCACACTGCTCAATTTTTGCTTGACTATCTCCCAGAACTATGAGCCTGAGATAAGGGCTGGGAAGAAGGAAGAAAGAGTTTCTACATCTTCGAATCCTCAATATTCACATACACTGTCTACATATACTGAATATGTGAGGTAATTAATCATACTCTCTCTAGGGGATGATCAGAAAGTTAAAAATGAGGAAATCTACATCATTATAGAACTTGAAAGTCATCTCCCAGAATGAAGGGAATGGTGACATTCCAAGCATAGATACAGCAGAAGTAAAGGTATCAAGTAATACAGCAATCTTGGGGGGGGGGGCTTTTGACTCTGACTTTAGGAAGATGCCCAAAGGAAATTTAAAACCCCAGGACATTCTGTTCCTATTCTACCCTCCCAGGGTCCCATGTATGTCCTAAGGGACTCACAGTGAGGCAGTAGTTATTCTAGATCCCCCTTCACTACTTATGACAAATTCTGATCTGGGAAGGGCAGCTATAAATCCTCAGACATAACCTGAGAGGCAGTCACAAGAACAACACAAACTTTAGAATGAAGCTATTTCATTGTTCATTCTCTACACACCAGGTACTAGAATGCCTCAAATTCAAACAGAATTGACAATGAAAACATAATGATTATTCACCTTATTTGAGAATCACAATTATGTACATTTTCTTAGCAGGGTTCAGTAAAAGAAACTATAGAAAATATGTCTCAGAAGTGGGGGGGGAGGCCCAGTGATTTCATATATCAGAATTATACAGTTAACAATGGTTCTGAGGAATATTTTCTATAACATGATCCATGCTTTTTTAGTTGTTAAGAATCACAATGAATGTCAGGCCTTGTTCTAAACCAAACCTTTAACGGACATTGAAAGCAAAGAATGAAATCAAAATGGTTTGTATTTTTATTTTGGCTTGTATTTTTAATTTGTGAGAACTTGCTAGTAGAAGTTCACACATCCACAAGTATACTCTCAGCAAGCTGAACTTTCATGCACTTTATCATTTTATATTAGCCCTGTTTCTCTAACCTTTAAGTCAGGATTGAGCCACTGTCCACCCATAGAGGAAAGGGCCTGAATCATCACTTGCAGGGACCGTCTTACACTTCCCTCTTCATCTGTTGTGGGGAAGTGCTTCACTCCCTGCCCTGGGAGCTTCAGATGCTGCACTGCTCTGCCTCAGAGCAAGATAGGGGATAAATCCTCCTCAGGGTTTTATTTGAATAAACAGATTAAAGTCTCGTATGTTTAATTTCTAAAACACTGTTGGGTACTGACTTCTATGTTTTCTGAAACTTTTAAAATAATGAACATTGTAGAATATTCCATACATTAAGTGAGATATGTGACTTTGCAGACCATTATTTTTGTACCATGGAAATGGTGAACGTAGAAGAAATGATGAGTGTGAAATTTAAGAAATGTCCCTAAATATGGAAAGAACCACTGACAAATGTGACACGGAAGGAAAATTCTAGCAGCAAGGAAGCAGTACAAGATTACACGAACCTCCAAGGGACTTGATTGTTTTAGCACATCTGGAGTTGCACAAAATCTACCATTATGAAGAGCTGACCAGGCTGTAACTCGTCCCTCATGAAAACTCAAATATACTTCCATAACCTGTCAAATTTGGTTAATAAGGGGTCAGTAAGAAAAATTCCTTGATGATAAAGTTTGCAGACATATATCTTACCCCAACTGATATTTATTCTGCATGGTGCTGGAAAGAAAAAACCTGTAACTTTACATTCTTCCTAACCTAGAAACGTATCTATTTATAAGAAGGGTTACTCTTCGATTTGGCATCCAAGCTCCTTCTAAGCTGTAATAAACATGTTTTTAGAATTATTCTTTTAAAGTTTTATTCAATGTTGCATACACTTTACTTTTCAAGTAAAAACATAATGACATGAACAATTTATGCATTGAAGCAGTGTGAAGAGAAACGATGCCAAGTTAAACTCCCCAAACAAATATCTGGGCCATTGAGTTAAATGTTTTAAAGCTGATTTGTCTGGGTGTATGATGTGTACTTTGCTTTTCCTTTTTTGAGACAAGGTTGTGCTAGCTCATAACTCATGATCTTCTTACCTCTGCCTCCTGAGTGCTGAGATTACAGTATGTACCACCACATCTGGCATGTTATTTTTAACTACTATATGATCCAACACTGATCTGAAAGTGAGAAAAAAATACGATCGAAAAGTTGTTAAACTCTACAAATTGAACAATTCCATCATTTTTTCCATATAAAAAAAAAAAGGCAGATGACTTAAAGGTGCTGAAAGTGCAGAACCAGTGTGACTATCGCTCTTTCTTTAACAGCAACATTGAATACCTGATTACACAGATGGAAAGCTTAGTGCTAAGGGGAGTCTGGCCTCCTCCAAAGCAGCTAAGGTAGAATATTTACAAATACTGCTTTGGACAGCTGAGCCTGAAGGGTTCACTCTGGAAAACAGAAATGTTGGAGGTCCTTTTCAAACCCACTGCACCAGGGCAGACATTGGAAAGGCCACTTGACAGCAGAGCCACGGTCTTGCGTACCATGCTGCCCAAACAAAACTTGCCATAGTCCACCCTATATCTAAATCAAAAGAAAATTTCAGAAAAGGATTTTCTAAGGCACATTTTAAGACCCAACTAAACCCAAGGTTTTGTTTTAAGTTTTGATAAAGAAAAACAAAAATCTCCCAAGCAATGATTTTCCATTCCCGAGTCTGTGAAAAGACTTGTGAAGACCAGATTTAGTTTCTGTCCAACCTACGCCCTCTCAGCCTGGGGCTCATGGCTTCTCCACAAGGTATAATTATTTCAATTGTTTTTGAGGGACCAGTATTGTTTGTATTTCTCTGGATGGGGTCCTGGTTCCCCCGGAGTGTGTGCCATTTCCTCTGATCTTCACAACAGTCTTCTGAGAAGAGAGGATATAGGAAAGCCCTCCCAGTTCTATAAATGAGAACACACAGGTGACTTGAAGCTAGCTAAATGTTTAAGTCCAGAAATTCAATTTTTTGTGCAAAATCTTCAAAAGGGGTGTAGCTACTGATTTACCAATGAATCTACTGATTTTGAACATCTGGATGAAATAGTCCACACAATAGGTATTAATTATCCTTTGAGTTTGGCCACATTAATCTAAGACCAAAAATTTAGAATTTGCATGTAAATGGCAGGGAAAAATTTGCCCTTCATATGTTCTGGATGACCCTAACTTGCCTCAGTTAGGCAACTACTTTCTCAGTGGCCTAGAGGGAAAAGGAAATTAAAGAGTGTCAGAAAAGGCTGCTACAATCATATCTACTCAGAGGAAATGAAAAGAGTTCCCAAAGAAGTTAAAGATTTTAAACATAAGAAATTAAACAGACTACCATTTGCTTTCCTACGTGACATATACATGTAAATGACAACTATTCCAATTTAAACTGCATGATCAAGGAGATTTATACTTAATTCCTCTTTATGAAGACTGCTTTAAATCTAGCAAGAGAGACTCATCATCTTCTACCCTCACTTGAGGTTTAAAAGTAACCTTTAAAGGCTCAGAGACTGCGATGCCCCCTTCCTCTTGGGGAGCATAGCCTGCCCCGGACACCTCCTCTTCTGTTTCGCTAAGCTCATCAGGGTGGAGCTCATGGATGGGGCCCAGAGATGGACTCCCTGCAATGATGTCCACGCCAACATCCCTGCCCACTTCCTGACCTTCGGCCTTCGGGTCCTTAGCTTTCTAAGGCTTCGCATCTTAAAAGCTTCCTTTGAGGGGGCAGCATTAGAGATAGATTTCTTAAATCTTTCCCCTGACTGTTTCAGCCTCTCTCCTGACTGCCTCAGCCTCTCTCCTGACTGCCTTAACCTTTCTCTCCTCTCAGGTGTCACTATTCTAGTTCTAATTCTGTTCACTTTCTTGTCAAAATTCTGTCGTGTCTTCTGCATGTTTTCCTTGGAAAACGCCTTTTTGATATGATCAATGCGTTCCTTGCCTGACTTCCTAAGCCTGGTAGATCTGCTTTCTTCAACATAATATTCTTCATCCGATGAAAGATCTACTGGGGGATCAAAGACTTCCTCCTCCTCTTGGTTCTCAGTTAGGTTTCTGTCTTTAACAATAGACAGGGATGTCGGACACCGAATTTCCTCCTGAAGGAGAAGGAAAACAGCATGTTAGTGCTTCCTTTGCAGTGTAGAACAGTTCTCTCACCTCTCGCCACACCTAGCAAACCTCCCCGTACTCCTTATCCTCTGCTGGCTCCTTAAGTTGACATTTCTCTGGGTTTCTCTTTCCCTGGCCCTCTCCTCATGAATATGTTATCTGTACCTCTTGATGAAGAGTATCTAAATGATGGGCAAACTTCTCCACTGCATGTAACTCAGGTACCTCACATATGTCATCCTCTCTACTTGAACATCTTTTCCTGTGCCTTCAGCACTAATAACCATCCAGGTGCCACACAAGATGGAGACCTCAGAATCATCATTCCAAATATTTCTTCTGGCTCTCTCTTCCCATATTCTACTGGTCACCAAGCCCTACCAGCCAGTAATAATGCACAATAACTTACCTTTCTCTTCTCACTCCTCTACCTATGTCTTAATTCAGGCCTGAACTTATACAGTAACTCCTCACAGATCCCTCTCCCTCCAGAACATTTCCTGAGAAATAGTTCTGAAGCACAGGCTTGATGATATTCCTCGAAAGTTTCTAGGAGCTCATCAATACTCAAAAGACAGAAGTTGAATCTTTAGCATGCCTAGAAAGCTCTTCAGTTTGCCCTGACTCTACTCTCCCCCTTCTCCAGACCAGCACCACTCATTTCTCAAGAATAAATTGTTTTCATCTCTCTCTGTAACTTTGTGTACGTGGCTTCTGATACCTTTTAATGTCCCTTCACCTCTTTTTAGCTTTATGAAAGATAACTTTCTTCAAAAATCAATTCAAAGGTCCAAACTACCCCAAGTAGATACTTTTCTTGTCCATACGTACACCAAAAGGATCTGAACATACCACTATTGCAACATTTATTACACTTTGAGTTGAACTGGATTCCACTCACTTATATATGTGCTCCTGTCACCTTCACAAGATGACAGGTTCCCCAAAAACAGAACTGATAATGTACCTCATTTATGACTTAGGACTAGCATCTGTGAGTGCCTTGTACATAGTAGGTATACTTAATAAATTACTGAGTCACTAAGCACCCACCACACATCAAGTCTGAAGAAAACAGAAAGCTTACATTCATGGAAAGAGAGATAAAAAGATATATAGGATGTTGGATGATAAGTGCTAAGATGAAAAGAAAGCACAGATGGGGTATTCAGTGAAAGGAGAGGGTGCTGTTTGAAAGACCTTGCTAATAAGGTGGTTGGTAAGCCCTTACTAATAAAGTGATGGCTGAGCCAAGACCTGAAGGTTGTGCAGGAAGAATGGAGAGCCACAGGAGAAAGTGGCTCAAACGTGTAATCCTAACTACTAAGGAAGTGGAAACTGGGAGGATCATGGTTAGAGCCCAGCTCAGGCAAAAAGTTAGCAAAACCCTCATCTCAACCAACAAGCTGGGCATAGTAATATGCACCTCTAATCCCAGCTACAGGGGAGGCACAGGTAGGATTATGATCTGAGGTTGGCCCTGGCTGGGGGGGGGGCAGCCATGAGACCCTATCTGAAAAAAATGGGCAGAGGAGGGGAAAGAAATGGTCTGACTCTGGCTGTGACTGCAGGTAGGAGCCAACAGTATTTGCTACTAGATGAGGGGTTAGTGTGTGTCAAGGATAGTCCTCAGGTACATGGCTGGAGAAGGCAGAGGAGCACGTGAGTCTGCAATTCAGGAGGGAGGTCTGGGCAGGAGAAACAAATTTTGGAGTCATGAATATAGACATGGAATGAAAAATCATGTACGCTGGGGATGTAGCTCAGTGGTAGAGCACTTGCCCAACATGTGCAAGGCCCTAAGTTCAACTCCCCAGCAGCACAAGAAAACAAAACAAAAAAGTCAGGACACCAGAAGAAATCACTAAGAGAATGAATGAATGGGTCTACACTCTTATTTAATTCAAAACTCCTTGGAAGATGCATTTCAAAATTCAGAATATTTCAAGTTTTGGGAAACTAACCAGTGAGATCTTGGGAAGAAGCATTTTTTCAGTTAAAAAAAATATATATATATACGTATATACATATATATGCATATATACATATGCATACACATATACACACACTAAGGTACAAGAAAGACTATAACTCAGCCTCTTTTTTTTTAACTACTGAATGGTTTTATTTTGCTGAGTGGGATGGCCCATACCTAACCACAGCACTCAGGAGATAGAGGCATCACAAGTTCAAGGCCAGAGGGGCTTCATAGTAAGATTTTTGTCTCAAAAAAAAAGTTGGTTTCAGAAATTTTTTGGATTTGGGTGTTATAGATCATAGATTTTGGACTGTAGATGAGAAAAAATAAAAAAGGAAAAATATCAACCAATGAGGCAGGCAGAAATACAGGGGAGACCAGCACCCCCAGAGGCTGAGGGTACAGTTTCAAGAAAAGAGGGAAGAACCAAATACCAAATGTCTCAAAAGAGTAGGATGAGAACTGCTCTGGAGGGGATGACTGACACTTTATGGTCTTCAGAGCTGGCCCAACCATAGGTATGAAGGAACCCAGCTCACTATTTATAGATGTTTTCTGAAACTAAAGAGGCAAACCTTTAAAAATCATGAGATTTCTTTAACTGATTCATGAGTTAAAATTTCTAAAAGAAACTGTGTACCAACTTGAGATCGAGATTAATTCTATCCCATCAAAAAAGATAATATACAGAAACACATTTACATATACTCTAAAACTTAATCAGCCTGATTTTCAAGAAGAAATTCCTGGCATCTTATTCCTTTAGAAACTTATTTTAAATTAAATTCTATGGCTACAAGATTGGAGAGTCTAAGAGCTAAAAAAGGCAGAGGTGGGTGTCTCATAACTCTCCAATGAATCAGTTGGAAGCAGTGAAGTTATTCCTCTCGCTTCCTGACACCTGCTGCAGGGAGTAGTTCAATAACAGTGTGGGCTGGACTGGCCTGAGAGGTATAATTAGAAAAAGGAAGGAGCCAAAGAGTAATTAGTGCTTGGTAAGGAAAAAACCCTCACAATCTTGCTGCAAGGACATCAGATACAGCTTAACTCAGGAATCACATACCCTTCTCTTCAAATGTACAATGAATAGTACAAATTTAGGCTTGAAAAGAAAGTAAAACAGAGGCAGAGGCAAAAAAGGACTTGCCATGGAGATCTATTTATTATAGCTCTATTGAGTCAGCACAGGAAATCTGTATTAATCGTGGATTTATTACATGCTTTTTGACCAAACGTGGTCAAAAAAAAAATTCATGCACATATATTATAGCACTCAACTGATATGAAGAAGCTCTCAAGTCAGTCCACATTATCATGGTTGTGTTTAAACTCTATGCACCCTGAGCATTTGTGACTTTTTCCTCAATGGCACTCTCCTTAGAACCATATATGCACAGATACCAAGGGTCTACTGTAATGCCATGATTAATGGTAAATACACTGTAATAATAATCCAAGATTGTAGGATTGAGTGACAGCTCATTCCCAAATACAATTATATTTGTTTGGAAAAGTCCACATAAAAATACCATTTTTGTAACAGAATAAGTACTGTCGGCCAGAGTAAAGGGAACTTGATTATCAAAAACACAGCTAAGGGAATTTGGGGTACATACAGATCTGGGAGTTATCATTAGGGAATGGCCAAATGCCTCCTCTGGTAACCATAGACCTGTGGCTAGTAACCAAAAATTTTAGAAGATATGGTATGGCTTCCAGCTTGTATAGTGAGGGGGTCATTAAGATGAAAGTGTGTTCAAACAGAATACATTATTATGTAGGATATACAAGATAAACTCTTAAATGCCAATATATACAATTTAGCAAAAGTTTAGCCAACTATTGGAGATAGAATGTAAATAAAGATACAGTCAAGATACACCCAGGAAACTTTTGGGGAAAAACTCAAATGGAAATCAAACTGTACTATGGCTGACATAGCTCCATTTCTACTTGTAGTAGAAAGGACAATCTTCACATAACCACTTATACATATTAATTATATGAGAATGAATTATAACTAATTTAGCTGCTAAGAATAACCATGTGAATATCATATGTAGGGTTCCAACATTTAATGAATTTAGAAATCTGAATTTTATGTCCATTGCATGTGCTTTTATCTTTTCTCTATAAGCTTATAAAAGAGTTGCTTTTTGACAAACAGCTACTTACTCCAGATAACTTAATTTCATGGCATAGTATCTTAAAAGAGATCTATCCTAAACCAGCACTTTTGTTTCTTTAATAAGCTATAAGAGCTCAAAGAAAGGGAAAGTTATAAGTTACAAGGAATAAAGAGGCAAATAGAGAAACAATTCAACTTTAAAGGAAAAAAAAGCCAGCCATAGTGGTTCATGCCTATAAGCCCAGCGCTGGGGAGGCAGAGGTAGTTCCAGGTCAGCCTAGGCTACATAGTAAAACCCTGACACAAAAAACCAAGCAGACAAATAAAATTTAAAACTAAAAGGAAAAAAAAAAAGAATGATGTCAATATACAGGGTCAGATAGAACTTATCAGAAACTTCTTTGCTGTAGCTTTTGTAAATCTTGACTAAAATCTGGTCCTACTTACTTTGCCCAGAGGTCCTCAGAAGAAATGCTGGGCACCAACTATATCTCCTGGCACACCACATGCATGGGGAGAGGAGGTATAGCTGCTAGTGCTGGTGCCCTTGGAAGGTGAATAGGAGAAACAATGCCACAGTTTCCAATAGCAAATCTAGATCCCCACTGTGTGTGCTAACACTGGAACTGGCCTCTGAAAGTAAGGTGAAAAGTTTAAGTCTGGAGAAAGGCCCCCAAGGACCTAGAAGGAAAAGGACTTCTAATATTACCCAATCTGTCTACCTTTTAAATAAGCACCTCTTCTCTCCCCACCCTATTCTTTTTCCTAAGCAACCCAGGAGCTCTTAAGGACAAGTCCAAAATACCACTCTACCATCCCAGTGTAACTAATCAGTCAACAAAGGGCAATGAGAACTGACTAATGCACAAAGAATGCTGTGGAGAGTTACGGCCACATCTCTACTAGTTTGGGAATATTTGCCACATAATCCAACTATGTTCCTATTTCATTTTGTTTTTATTCTTCTAGGGATTTCCTTTTCCCCTACGCACACAGGCATCCCTTTTAAAAACATAAATGGTAACACTTTACAAATGCACATATTCTTGGTCTTACACTTAGCTCAAATTCTGTGTCACACATTTTGAGGGCTAGAAGGTTTATAAATTTTTAAAGATCCTAATACTACCAAAATTACCTCCAGAAATGTTCCTACCAGCAGAATATTACAGTGATTGCTCTCTTGGCCCCTTAAAATCTAAGTTCATATTTTAGTAACTGTCAGTGTTTAAAAAGGGAAAAGGAAAATTCTAGTCTTTTGTGAACTGCCCAAAAATGAGTTTCCTAGTGTGTGTGTGTGTGTGTGTTTACTTTGTGACTCTTCCCACAGTAAACTTTTTCCTTTAATTTGGAAGAATTTAAAAAATAATTGAGTGTATAATGCAGGCTATGGATATGCTTCTATTTCAAAAAATATAAGCGTTGAGCACAGTATTATAAGAACTTAGCTCAATACACAATGCCACACAAAAATGATTAAAATCACTAAATAAAGACTTTTGCAAACAAATAAGGAACGATTAGACTTCTATATTATGTTACTAAAATAACATAGAAATAAAGCAATTTCCTGATTGTTCATTCAGAAAGAGCTTTTTTTATTATGGTGACTTACATGTAAAAATTCCAATAGACAAACTACATTAAAAGTTTGTATTTTACTGGTTGGACTTTCTGGGCTCTCCATAGAGTACAACCATTATTGTGGGGGTAGTGCTCCCCAGTTTCTTCTTCTTTTGAGGGGATTCTAGGGGCAGAACCCAGGGCTTCACACATGCTAGGCAAGTGGTCCACCACTAAGCTACACCCTCCCAGTCTCTTCTTTTATACAACAAAGAGGTGTTTTAAGCCAGAGATTTCTTAGAACTCTTCTAGTTCTAACATTCTCAAAATCTATGAGAGAGCATCATGCTAATAAGGCTAATATCTCAAAGAGCCTTGCCAATATTAAATTTCAAGGGCAAGAAATAGCCTTAGCTATGAGCCATAGTTCATATTACAAGAAATGGTTGAGAAGCTCAGAATACTGATATGATAGATAATATCGGTAGGTAACACTGAAATGGTTTTATCCTGAAGTCTGTGCTGACACAGAGCTCCACAGTATTAATGTGTATAACAGCTGAAACCCCTGATATAACATGTTGAAAATTAAAGGATGCCAGAGATTATGGCATTCAAGCAGATACAAGCGCACTTACCTGGAATATGACCACACGGAATTTGTTTTTCTTCATTATTTCCTCTTGCTTGGTTTCAACTTTTGTCACGTGAACTTGTTGCTTTTCCACCCGAGCCTTCACATCTTTAATGTGAGCACTGACTTTTCTGGTTTTCTCAAACAGCTTATTAATGGCATAACCTGTATTGCTATGTGATTGTGAAAGCTTCAACAGATCAATCTGGACAGATTTTATGGCGTTTTCCATCTCCCTATGTCTCTCTTCTATTCTCTTCTGGCTTGCTTGTACACTGTCCACGATGGTGGCTACTTTGTCCAGCACAGTCACTATGGTAAGAGCAGCATCTTGGTCTTCATCTTCGGTAACACTTGACAAGCGGTTCTGGTGGATTTTATCAGCATTTGGAGCAGACCCATCATGTTCCATTTTATTAGTTTCTCAGCAAAAGATGTCCTATGCAATCAATTCTGGCACTTGAAACCAAAAGGCAGCTTGACAGCAGGCAACAGAGCTGCTTCAAGGGTTGGAAACCCCAGTGCTGGAGAGTGGTCAAGTATTTATAACTACAAATACCCATTCGTGACTGCTTTGCAATATGAGCCCTTGCAAAGCACTGGGGACTATTCCAAACATGCTTGCTGACTTACTAAAGGACTCAAATAAGACTGTGTGGGTAGAAGAGGAAAGCTGTTTTTAAAAGTTCACTAAGCCACTATGTTATTAATGTTAAGTCTACAAGCCAAGTAACAAAAAAGTCAACTTCAAATACTGGGTGAAGAAGCTTTTGTCTTTAGCTCATTTCAAGCAGTATTTATAAAAGCAATGGGGAATTCTGAACTATTAATATCACTTATCAAAGTGATAAGTGATACTTATCAGCATCAAAGAAAATAGTAAATAAACACACCAAACAGAGGCCATATAGTGAAAACATTATATTATAACATGCTTTTCCAATCCAAATATTAAAATTAATACTTAATTTTGAACATATTCTTTAAATTCTACATGCATACTTTTGAGAAACTAAGCTACACATTTAACAGCTCAATACATTCTACTCACACTTCAGAACTTTAAACACCAACAATCTATTAATATAGCTATTACTACGGGACCAATTTGGATAGAGGTTTTAGGTCACTTTTAAGCTCACTTTAAGAGCACCAATCAGTAACAATTATTTTTGCATTGTACTCACAAACACTTGATACAATTTATTTATGTTAAAACAAGTATTTTGTTTAAAAGTGAATGTGTATTAAAGTAGTTTAACGGATAGTACAGGCTTTATTCCAATTTGTTATTAAACAGCCTGTTTTTTGGGAATATCTAAGTCTACTTTTCAGTGATCTGTTCCAACATTACTACCAGGTACTTTTTCAAATTATTAGAATTATTTTTTTTCAAAGGGAGGAATAATCAAATTCCAGTCCGTACATCTTATAAATACTTTACATCTAACACACACAGCTCTACAGTTCATGCAGTAGGCAGTGTCTAGAAAACCAAGTACTAAATCTCAAAAACATTTAAATAGCTATTTAAACACAGTGTCGTCTAGATTTTTTTTTTTTGTAAGAAAAGTAATCTGTAAACATCTTTACCTTTAATTCATGCTTGGTAAATTTGCTGTGGTCATTGTGGAAGAAGTGAGTAAGACTTTATAACCATTTGTGAAGTGGGTCCATCTTTGCAAAAATATTACATTCCATGGGTAAAGAACAAGTCTTCATATTACCATGTGGTACAAATTTGTGAAATCAATTTCTGTATTTAAAAACATAAAACAAAGACTACTAAGCAGTCCAAAACTGTTGTAGCTAAATATTCTAAATACGAGCCAACAGTACTACACTAAAAATGTCCAAAAATAAGGCCTCTGAAATAAATATTTCCATTCTTTAAAAAAAGACATAATAAATGTACATCACATGGTCAGTGTGCATATAAAAGTCATCGGTTTAAACCATTCTGGAGGATGTATCTGAAGTAAAATGACCTAGGTTCTGCTTCTGTCGACGTCCTCTATTGTTTTTGGGGCATTTTCTGTTGAGGAGGAAGAGAAGAGAAGGAATTTTGTTAAATAAATTTCAAAGGTTCCTACAGTAATATACATCACACATAAAGCCATATTTCGTGCAGTTACAAGGAAAGGCAACACGATGCTATTTGGTGCAAGACAAAGTGAGGATGAGTATGATGGCAGGTTGCTATCTTCCCTGTGATGCTGGGAGTTGGGGGGATCAGACATACAATTAACAGTAGAGAGACGCAAAATTAATTTCCAGTGTACTACTGCACATGCTTAGAGAGAAATGCCCATCCACCCAGAGTGGCAATTCCCTAGCTACAGTGACTGATAACATAAGAAACCTATGACAGTAGAAAAGATCTTGACCTGTGTGCTTTTTCTGAGCATTGTGACACTCCCAAAAAAGAGAAGAAAAGCTGAAAAGAAGAAATTGGCAAGAATTCGGCATTATTAACCTCAGATATGAGCACACTGGAATGCCCACTAATTTTAGACAGGGACTTAAAAGGGATTGCTCCACACCCTGCCAGGGCACATCACAGAACCCCAGAGGGAAGAATGAGATAGTCCTTGATTCTGCTCTCATTTTATGACAAATGTTTCTCCATTGTGGAGCAAATCTCATTGCATTGTAACTGCACTTCTCCCCACACTTTGTAAACTTTGCTCTTACTATGCACAAGGTGCTATGTTACACAAAGTAAAGAGGCTGAAATGAATTCTGGCAATTTTGAGTTTGGGCCTTATTAATGACTAGCTATTCAACCTCAATTTTCCTTAATGGAAAGAAAGTCTTAGAATAATGAATGCTTCTACTATAATGTTCCACATTTTTATCCAATTTCAGAGAACTGCTTTGCCTTAGCTTAAAAGCTTTAATAATAATACTTCCACTTTGTGGTATGGTTTTTAAAAGATTTTAACTCACTCATCCTCATAAAAATAATTTTAGGTAGACAGAGCTGAAATCATACCCATTTCATAAATGAGGAAACTAGCTGAAAGGTCAAGAAACCTTCTTTAACCATCACTAATCATCATGACTTTGGAAAAGCCCCAGCTTCTTGGGGCCATGGAATTTTCTTCTATAAAATAAAGGGCGCTTCGGCTAGTATGATATTTGAGGTTACTGCCAATCTATGATTCTATGAGTCTAAAAACACACAAGAATAGCCTCAGCATCAAAGAAGAAAATGTGACTCACAGAGTCTTGATAAGTGGGTCAGTAGGAACATCCTTTTAAAGGAAGATTCCTTGCAACCGACAGCCACCACAGGAGAGATAACAGTTGTCCCATAATGGACTGTGGGGGAGAGGCACTCCTTAAAAATTCAATGGTGTTAAGTCCAAGTACATAACTGTAATATTCCAAATGCAAGATAACAAGACATTCTGGGTGGGGAGGGAGATTACCACAACAAAAAGCCTCGAGGAGGAATCTGTGATAAACACACTGAGATGACCCCACAGTCATGAAAATAGTGGATAATGAAGAGTCAGTGTCACTGTCCAAGAGGCTGAGAAGGCAGAAAATGGATCTTGGGTGTAAACTCAAAGGTAACAACCTAACAAACATCTTCCAGGTAATGTTAATTTAGTAGTGGGGGATAATAGCACACTGAGAGCAGAAACACATAGTGGGATAAAAGGCTAGAGTTTTAAAAGGGGTTGCCTAGCTCTCTGACCTTTTCAACAGAAACACAGTTTCCTCACTTCTCTAAGAAAGGAACTGAACTCAAAGCCACTTTTCAGTGCCTCCATCCTATGATCCTTCAAGAGTACAACACAGCCCAGTCTCAAAAGTCTTCCCTTTACCTATTTCTTTCTTTCACCTTTCAAATAATTTATCGTCCCATTCTTGCTTTGCTTTACTAATATCTTAAATGATATCCCCCTATGAGGCTATTTCAATGAATTTTGCATGGTCCTTTGATTAATGCTCTGGAAAAATGGTTTATACCAAATCCCCTTGCCCCTGCTCAAAAATCCTAAACTGCTTTAAAATCAAGTTTGAACTCTGACCCCATACAATGGTCATACCTGGCAAACCTACTTCCCAACATGACTGAACATGGACCCACCTCTTGATGACACAGTGGAAAGTAGAATGATTCAAGAATCAGAATGTACTGAATCCAAACCCAGGCATTTGCACTTACTACTTGGATGACTACAGGCAAACTAGTTAACCACTGAGCCTGTATTAAATGGCCACAGTCAGCCCCGCTGTTGATTATTTTTTTCCTATCTTCTCTTCCTTTTGTCATTATTTGTTATGTCACTATGTCCCTACTTTGATCTACTGCCCAATTTTATACTCAGTAGTCTTGCCTAAGGGCAGGTTATCTGTCTGGTGGAATAAAGCACACTGACTTTAGTGCCTGAATTTCATAAAAAAATATTACTCAGAGAACATTTTTCCATCATTTCTAGATTTATCATATCAGCTCCAGACGGCTCAGACTACTAAAGGTCTGGCTCTATCCACGTCTTGGATAAAAGGGCCATACATACAATATGGCCTACCAATATTTGTATTTGATATGTTCCAACCCTCTGCCCAGAAAAATGCAGGAAAGAACAAAGATGGCATTTCTGGAACATCTGAACCAAACCTGAAAGGAGGTAAAGAAGAGGTGAACAAGAAGAAAGACAAGGGCAGGTACAGCAGTATAGGTTTGTAATCCTAGCTACTCAAGAGGCAGGGATTGGGAGGATAACAGTTCAAGACCAGCTAGGGCAAAAATGTTAGTGAAGCCCTGTCTCAGCCTATACACACCTCAGTTGGGTGTGGTGGCATCTGTCTATAATCTCAGCTACGTAGGAAGTATAAATAGAAGGATCGAGATCCAGGCCAGCCCAGGCAAAAAGAACATGACCCTATCCAAAAAAATAACTAAAGCAAAAAGGGCTAGGTGTGTGGCTCAAGTGATAGAACACTTGCCTAACAAGCAGGAGGTCCTGAGCTCAAATCCCCATCCCCTCCAAACCCCCCACCCCCTCCAAAAGAGGAGGAGGATGAAGAGGAGGAGTTTGGAAAGCAGCCATTTTATGCCAACCATGCTCCAAATAAGCCCTTTAATGATAAATGGTTTTATTTACAACAGTATTTTAAACCTATTCCTTATCACTATAACCTAGAATATGATGTAATGTTAAGACAATGATGTAATAAGCAAAGTAGTTTTACCCTTCCTCTCTGATTTACTTTCTTGTTAATTTACCATGGATGAAGTACATTCTCAGGGCATGAAACACATTACAATGCTTCAGGGCTTAAAATATGTCTGCATGGCTCTTCTGTGCATGTGTTGACCATTCTAGACTCTGTTATTACCATTATTGTCCTTGAATGCAGTGCTCATAGCACACCATTCTAAGATCCCTAAATTCCTTTATTTCACTGACTGTTCTCATATTCTTTCTGCCTCTAGCCCCAAGAATGAGTTCTTACTCATATTCTAAAGAAGCAGAACAGAGGGAAGTC